ATGTTGGGGCCATATTACCGAAAAGGCTTAGGTTGATACCTTTGTTGCCTTTATTGGTAGAAATTTTTTTCACCTTGTCGATTGTCTCCATATTTCAAATTGGGATGGTCTCTCTAACTAGGATTATAGGTGTTAGAGAAGGGGTCATAGGGTAATGATTGACCACTCACAAAATTACCAATAGTATCAAAATGTTTAGTGCGCCTCTCTTGTAATGTTGGGTATGCATCCGTAGTATGTCCCGTAGTCGAATAAACCTCATAAGCGTTAATAGCTTGTAGATTTCCAATAGCCATTTTCCTTACCGGTGAAGTCAAGTCGGACATTTGCTACTTTAAACTAAAGATGTTGACTTCATTTATCTTTTTCAATGTGTGATCAACCCTCATACCAAGCTCGCTATGAATTTACAACCATGTTGGATATTAAAGCTCTCGTAGCATCAATGTCTTGTCTACTAGTGCTCCCGCATTAGCGAGCATCTATCATGCACTTCTCTATAAAGAGCGAGTCCCTTATAGAAGTATATAATTAGCAATTAATCTAAAATCTGGGCGGTTAGAGCACGACTTCTGAACCACTCCCGATACTTATACAATGTCTCATTATTGAACTGTCTAATACCATAGATTTTCTTCGTATCCTCATAGCTCTCAATATAGGAAAATATTTTAACTAGCAGAGCTCGCTTCATTCTATTCCATGAATCAATTTATCCCATAAAGAGATTATATAGCCGATCCTTAGCATCTCCATCCAATGAAAAAGGGAATGCCCGTAATTTAATTTACTCCTCTAATACTCTTTATGGTCTCATAATTAAACGAGACCACATGAAACTCCTTTAGATGTTTATGGCGGTCTTCTTCGATAAGGCGTCGAAATTTCAACAATAAGTGTATCAATCTCAATTTTAATTTAGTTCAACATCAAGATTAAGGAACTCGATACACAAGGGTCGCTGATTAAGGTCGGGAGCGGCTAGCTCTTTTAGTGTCTTGTTTGACTCGTTTACAATCATGATTTACGCTTCGAATCACTTAATGACAAAAACTTGAGAATAGTAGTTATGGTTAGTGAAACCATTCTTTCGAATGACTCAATCCTTTCTATTCAAGCTAATCTAGCTTCTCTTCTCAATTTGCTCAATTTTTTTTTCGGTTCAAGATTGAAAATCGGATCACCCGATTATGACTCGGTCATGTATCAATCACAATGGAAACACAAAATAGTCAAAATACAAAAAACAATTAATTTGAGCACAATCCTCCCCGATAACAATGCCAAAATTTGATGGTGTGTCATACCGTCAACAAATTAGTAAATTTATATTATCCTTACGAGCTTTTAACCATAATAATATAATTACGAAAAGTAAGGGTCGAACCTAAAGAAAGGAGGCTTAATTAATGATTTTTTATGGTTGATTATTCTTATAATTAAAAGCGATAAAAGTGGGATTTTTGGTTTAAAGTGTTTAGACACAATTAAAGTAAATTAAAATAGCAATAATAAAGGAATCTTAGTTGAACTTTAGTACCAAATTTTAGTTTGGTTATTGATCATCAATAAAATAAGTAACTTATTCTAACTATGAATATTCACCATCGGACAACAATATGTATATTATCCTCGACCTTTCCTTACTTAGTCATTAACCGAAAATATGGTATCTAATCAATTCCTTAACTACTAAACAACATACTAAGTGCTAGATAGATTTAATCTACCAATACTATTAATCGGAGAAAGACAAGTAAAGCTAAACCACTCTCTCAAGCGCTAGAAAAATGTAACATATTTCTATGTTTTCCATGGGATTCAACAAAAATGTGAAAAATAATCATCAATCTCTAGTTATTACCACAAACAAGTTTAGACAAATAATTACTCAAACTTAAATACTTAGCTAGTAATAAGTTAATATGATCAAACAACTAGCATGCACTCTAATCTATTAAATCACATAACTATGACAAATCATCTAGAAAAATATAAAAAACTCAAACAAGATAAGTTTCAAAATAAAGCTCGTAATCTCATAATGATTTAACAAAAAGCTTCAACTTGATTCAACCAATAATGATATTTAGTTATTCATAATGGGTTACACGAGAGAGTTTTCTATCTATAGTAGCTACTAGGAGTTGGAATCCTAAAATAAAACCCTAAAATCACTATGTATTGTTAAAAGTAGGGTTACATCATATAAGTGTTAGCCTCACATGGCCATACAGATTGTTGAACAAAGTTGCATGATTTGTCGCTCAACTTCAGATGGTTTGAAGTCTTGAATAAAAGGTGTTACACATTTGCTTGAATAGAGGCACACAATCATGTGCTTTTTGCTTTCAAGCCATGTTGATTCTTTCGCCCACTTAGACTTTCTTTGCTTTGTGAGACATGAACGTGTCTCTCGTCTCTGTAAACCATATGGAATGCCTATTACTTATGTTGCATCTTCTTTTCTCTTGAAAGACCATATAGTTTGTTACATGCATAGTCGTGTGAGTCTCTTCCTCTAGCCATGTGGACTTCTTTGCTAAGCAATCCACATGGTTTATTCCTTGATGTCACATGGCCGTAGCTATTTCCTTTATAATTTGACATGGCCATGTGATTCTTCTAAACCTCTTTGGTGACGTCTCTCTTCCTTGCTTTGGTTTGGGTTTCCTTGCTCGATTCATTGTTTTTCCTATAAAATCTAAAACCATCATCTTGATCTTAATTAACCTAATATAATACAATAAACACTAAAAAGTTCAATGTAATAAAGCATACAAAACATGCTAATTATGCACTCATCGCAAACCACTATATGTTGTTAGGTGAAAACTATTGCAATCGGTCATAGAACAAAACAGAATAGATATTTTCTCCGGTTTTCACATTTGGAAGAATTTAGGAAACAACATCGAAACAAAATATGGATGAATACAACTATTCTAAATGTTCTAATGATTGCAATTGGTAAAACAAAAAACAAAAAACAAAAAAACAAAAACAAAATGAAATATAGTTGAGCAAAATATTTTTCTCGTGATAAGGAATCAACTATATTAAAGCGAGATCATATCATTAGGTAAACGAAGTAAGCTCTAGTTTCAATTGAAACATAGAGCACATACATGCTCGCCTAATAAATCTTACTATCACCATGTAACATCGGGCCAATTACAAGATGTGGCATCTTCCAAGAGAGGTGGGCTATTAAGATAAGATGTTTGAAGTTCAATCTTAATAGTAAAACCATAAAAAGGTAAGAGGCTCGATACAACAAACAACATAGCCACTAACACAACGAATATAAAAAAATATCTAAAATCCGATAGATTGCAAGCCGTGACATCTCCCAAAGATAGGTTAGTTATTAAAACATGATGTTTAAGATTGCTTTTTATGAAAATCTTGAATCATTGATGTAATTAACAATTATAAATTAAAGCAAGCATATTGTAACATTAACATGTAACATGCAATTAGTGTTTCGTTCGACTAATCTATGGGTATATATACACATACACACACACACACACACACACACACACACACACACACACACACACACACACACACACACACACATATATAACTAATTATTTATTATTTATTCTTTTTTATGTTCTAAACTTAATATTTTTTAAATAAAATAATTGAAATATATATCATTAGTTTTGTTAGAAATTAATTATGTATCTACATACACAACACCAATTATTTGTTATTTATTCTTTTTTTTGTTCTAAAATCAATATTTTTTAAATAAAATAATTGAAGTAATGTTTTGAAAAAACTTTTTCATTATTTAAATACAACTTCTTATGTTAATATTATTAATTATTTTGTTAATAAATATATATAAATCAAATGATTTTGCTTTACAAATAAATTCGATTTACATTAATTATGAAAAATAAGATTTTTACTCATACTATATGATATAAATCGTTAATCATATATATATAACGATTATCCAACTGTGTAACGTGGTGCTGATATCCAACTAGTGTGCATCTAAATAATACGAGAGAAGTTGGGACACTTCTCGTCATAAATGCTACACGTAATACTTAAAGAGAGTTTTGATACGTCAACTTCCCTGGACTTGCAACACTGACTTTCTGGATTTGTTGTTAGATTATTGTAACTGCTTCCAAAATATTTCAGTTTTGACAAAAACCTTTCCAGGTTTCTAAAAGTTAGCTAAATCTACATATACCATGAATTCAAATTATCGAACACTGCCAAAAGTGCTTGGGAGACCTTGACGAGTTGAGCTAGAATACCACTTTCGCATTCTTTATCTTGTGACTGGAACCTGATATAGTTTTCTGATGCTATATGCTTTCTGTATTTGTTCTTTTTCAGTTATCTAAGTTCTTAGCCATTAGATCCATTTATGACTATATACCTTTGTAGCAAGCTGGTTGGGATCCTTTTTTTATTGTTTAAATAATTGGAGCTTCATTCGTGCGGGACAATATATCTGTTGGTAAGTTTCTGTTCATCCGTAGGTTTTTTCAACTCCTGCGGATAACCTTTTATCAGAATTTCTTGTAGTTAAGTTGATGCAGTGCTGATCAGGACTTTTGCAACATTGAATGCCGGAGGTTACAAACTGCCTTAGATTGGATAATGGAACGATGAAATTAAAGGTCTCGAACTAGTTGTAGCCAAGGTTTTTTCTCCGCTCATAACTATCCTGATGGTTAACAGTCATGAAAATGAAAATGTACTCAATCAGAACTTTGAAGCAAAAAAAAAAAAAACAGAAGAAGAAGAAGAAGAAGAAGATCATGTTTTCATTGACTCGACACCACTGCTCCAGAAGATTTGTAGTCTTCTTCTTTATTTGATGGAACCTAAACAGGCTCAAACAAGTTTGTCGATTTCAGCTATAAATAGAATATTGGCTCACACACCAACCACACATGACGTAAGAGGAATTTCCATGGATGATCAGAAATATGTCTCTGCCACTCTGCCATTTTGTCTGGCACCTAATCTTCATTGGAGAAGTAGATCAATATCGAGCTTCTAACTGAATACTGATTTGAATCCCATCTGATATATCCTTGAGCTATTGGATCATTGCTTGCCTCAGATGTTTCAGTGAACGTCACAGAGTATGTTGCAGTCTGTTTCGTGTTAGAGAATATAATGTTTTTAGGTGCAACGGTAACATTTACCCCTGGTGGTGGATCGATGAAAGCAGTGTAAGATGAGTCAGGAGGGCCAACATTTGTTACCGTTCTGGTATAGGTCTGAGTTGCAGAATTAGGTCCATATACAATGGAAAAGGAAGGATAATTCAGCTGTGCTTCTGGTATACTCGACTCTTCTGAGCATTTTACTAGGCGCTGCACAATGGAGCTTATGTCTTTGTCTGGGTAACCCAAGCCACATAGGTAAGGAATGTAATCATCAGGCTGGATATCATAAACAAGACCCGGATCGCTTGCTTTTGATGGGTTGACATGGCCTGCTCCAGTGGCCAAGATATCAGCAGGTAAAAGCCTTTCATCCAAAATTGGCTGGCCTCCAAGGTTTACCAAATCAGCAGTTGTCATAATAGCAGATTTGATAGCAGCAGGTGACCAGTCAGGGTGGGCACTTCTAAGCAAAGCAGCAATTCCACTGAGATGTGGGCAAGACATTGAGGTGCCTGAAATAATGTTAAATGTTGATTTCGTATCTGTCTTGTTCTCCACAGAAACTGGCCATGCTGCTAAAATGCTCACACCAGGGCCTATAACATCTGGTTTCAAGATGCCTGGGCTTGCCAAGCTTGGGCCTCTTGAGGAAAACGAAGAAACCGCTGGGGCAGTTTTGTCACCAATTTTAGTTCCAGCAAAAACGATTGTAGCTGTTGGAAACTGTGTTGAGTTTATGTAGGCTTTGATGCTCAACCCAGCTGAGTAACTCACATGTGATGCAGGAAGTACATGAGCATCTGCTAAGGTGCTGTAGCCACTATCCTTGTCATTCATAAGAATCATAGCAGCACCACCGGCATCTTTCACCGTTTGTCCTTTGTCAATTCTTGCTATCCCACCACCTCTCTCACAAAGAACTATCTTGCCTTTGACATCAATATCGGTCAGCGATTCTGGTGCACAAAATGCTGCTGATTCAGAACCATTAGCACCTGCATAAACAAGACTCATATACGGAGGTGAATTTGGCTGGAAGAGGGATTCGCCAAGAAACTGCTTGGAATTTCCAAGCAACACATCTGCTCTTATGCTTCTATCAATGGTGCTTGCTCCAACAGTGAGAATCCATGGGGCCTCATTTGATAAAGAACCATTATATGGACCTTCATTCCCCGCTGAACAACTCACGAAAATTCCCTTTTGAGTCGCTCCAAAAGCTCCCATTGCAATTGAATCTTCAAAAAAGGCGCCGAACCACTGCCAAGGGAAAGGGAAAGCACATCCACCCCATCCTCAACAGCAGCATCCATTGCAGCCAATATGTCACTGTCTGCACAACCAAAATCAGAGCAAACTTTGTAAATGGCTAAGTGAGCCAGAGGTGCCATACCAACTGCCGTGCCATTGGCATTGCCAAACACATTGGCACCATTTACAAAATTTCCAGCTGCCGTGCTGGCTGTGTGAGTCCCATGGCCTTCCTCATCAAATGGTGGTGCGGCATTTGATGAAACGAAATCTCTTGCACCAATGAGTTTGTTGTTACACACAGTTCCATTGAAATTACATTTCCCTTTCCATTTGGGTGGTGGAGGAGGCACTCCTTCATCACTGAATGAAGGGTGATCCGGAGATATTCCAGTGTCCAAAACCCCAATAATCACTCCCTTTCCGTAAGTTGAGTTTCTCCAAAATCCTAAATTTTTTTGCAACCCCAAGAAGTTGGGACTGTGAGTTGTATGTAGATACAGAATTTTTTGGGGCTTTGCCGATAAAAACCCATCCTTATTTTCCATAGCTTCCGCTTCTTCTGCTGTTAGTTTAGCAGCAAAACCAGTGACAACATTTCTGTAGGAATACACCAGGCGTTCTTGGTGGTTTGAACTTGGAATGGCAACTGGTAAAAAGGTCTTGTACCAGCTGTCCAAGTCATCAGCAGAAACTTTCCCCTCTGGCTTCTTCACGAAGACAATGTAGGTTTCAAATTTGCTTTCTTGATTAGTCTTCAAAGTTCCTAGTGGTTCCCCCTCAGTGTATGCTTGAGAGAAGCTAAACATGGAGATGAGACAAACAAGAATGACAATCGCCATGTTTGGCAACAGTTCATACCTATTGTACTCCATTGTAGAGAAAGAAGTGAAAAACGATGGAAATTGTGGATCAATGCAAGCACCTAAGCACAAATTTATAGAGTGTGAGAGTTTGCATCTGGAAATGAACGATGGCCGGCACTTCTGGGAGCGAGAATATTCTGGAAGTTGATGGATGGGTCAATTCCTACCTGTTTGACGTATTCTGCTATAAGAAGCCGGAGGGGTATGCAGTTGATAACACCGCCGATGCAGTTGACAAGGTGTGCTGGCGATTGATCTTATGCAATATGCATGATTGAACTTGGACGCTCATCTTAATTTTGTTTACTTATTCCAGGTCATTGCATTGCCTTTTCCATTTTCTACTCTTTTTTCTTTTTTTCTTTTTTTTTCACTACAACCGAGACAACTAGATTGAGGAGAACAATACTGCAAACAAGGAAATAAAACAGAAGAAAATAAAGGATAAGCTAAAAGACAGCAGTAACATTATAAGGAGCTACATTAGATGCAGCAGACAGCAGGCTCCCAGCAATATTAAAGCACCCCTGTTTCAAAACCAGAATCCATCCGCTGCAGATAATTTCAGTAAAACATATCAGTTATGAAACCTTTCAAACACCAAAAAGGAAACTTTATATTAGCACTTGATCTATTCAGCAAGCAAATAGGAGGGGAAAAAAATAAAATAAAACAAAACAAAAGCAGGGCAAAAGCCTATAAACACTCGATCTGAGAGGACCATCAATAATAGACCACCAGAAATCATGAGGAACAAATTTCACCAACGAAGAGCCCAAGCAATTCAGCAATAGACCAAGGTCTCGCCACTACATGGAATCACATATCACTTTGCAGAGGCACAAGGTTGTGATGATAGAGTTCAATAGCACTTGTCAGAAACAGAATCTGCAGCAAACTTTGACACAGAACCAGGACAAGCAAAATAAACTTCCACAGCAAGGAGCATCCAGGAGATCAGCACTAAAACCACGGCATCATAGGATGCAGCATGTGTGAATAATGGGAAGAAAAAAATAAAGAACACACAGGATGATGTAATTTGAAGAGCATTTGCACCAGGAAGTAAACAAGATTGTTGTTTATTATTGAAAATACTCTGAAACTAGGCACACACCAACAGCTTTTGATGTAACAAAGTACTCAATTTTTTTTAATTTTATTTTTATTTTTTTTATTTTTTCCAGATTGCCATCTCTACCGGCAAACCTTTCATAATCACAGTCATAATCACCGTCGGAGAGAGACAAAATCAGGCCCCTCTAATCAATGCCGAACAGAACCCATCTATTCTCTAGTAGACTCCCTATTGTTTCTCTGAGCTGTTTTGCAGATAGTCATCCAAGTAATATTGCCATCTGCTTCGCCTTATAATTTGCAACACCCAGTAAGAGTTTCATTGCAACCATGTCCACGCTCACATTGCCTTCTTCAAGAAACTCCAATTTTACAACAAAACAATTCCCCCTTTTGCTCATCGAATTAAAATAGGTGACAACAAAGTAACTAAGTTGAACTAACCTAACAAAATTACTATCATCTGTAACTAAAATTCTTCTAACATTATCAAATTGTGCACAAAATCCACATTTATAACATTAGAATTCATTCATCAAATCAAACCCTAATCTTAAACAGAGCTTTTTACATACAGTAAGTAAAAAAAAAAAAGGGATCAATTTCATTGTTGATTTCTCAATTTATTAATCATCAATAATCCCTCTCATTATCTGGCGCACGCTTACCCTTCTTAATCTTCTCAAGCTGAATCTGCGTCTCGGTGAAGATCCTCATCCTTTCCATCTCCAAATCCTTAGCAAACTTCATCCTTTGCTTCTCCAAATCCACCATTTGCTTCAACTTCTCGCTCTCTACCCTCTCATAAACCTCCCCAAACTTCTCTATCGCTTGTGCTAATCTCTTAATCCCTTCTCCCTCCCTGTCCTCCTCCACGCTCTCCCTATCCCCTGCCTCAAACTCCTCCTCCTCCTCCTCCTCCTCACTATCTGACTCTGCTGCAGCAGCAGCAGCTGCCATTGCCGAATAATTCCTCCTAAAATAACCACCATCATCCAATGGCAAAGGCCTCTTCTGCGGCAATGCCACCGCCAGGGCCGCCGGCTGCGGCGGTGGAGTAGAACTAACCGGAGGCGTCCTTCGGTAAGACGGAGGCAGCGGAAGAGCCACCGGAGGAGACGGAGAGAGGGAGGGTGAGGGCTGTTTCTTACCAGATGAATTAAAATTAGATCCAATCAAAGCGTCAAGGCGTTCAAAAAACGGCCAAGAAGACGTGAGGGTTCCGTTGGAGGAAACGACACGAGATTTCTCGATCTTGTATTTCTTCTTAATGGTGTCGATCCGGTTCTTGCACTGGACATCAGTACGATGCGTCTTCTTTGTATGGCCGTGAAGTGCGTTAACGGCATCAGCAACATCTTGCCAGTCTTTCTGACGGAGATTACCTCTGTTAAGTTCAAGGTAACGGCGTCCCCAAGCATCAACAAGAGTAGATGTAGCTTCTTCACTCCAACAATCTTCACGGATGGGTAATGGACGTGAGTGCGGTGTCGTTGACGGAGTAACAGAAGATGATTCAATCAGATCTCCCATAATAATTGTTGATTAAGGTTAAGGTGGTTGTTGTTGGTGGTGGTGGTGGTGGTGGTGGCGGTGGTGGCTGTTTGGTTTGGTTAGGTTAGGTGAAATTTAGGTATTGGTGAGTTTTGGTGTTTGCGTTGGGAATTTTAATGTGGGAAAGGTGAGGGAGATAAAAGGGGGGATGACTTCGGTGCGGCGAAGGTGACGCGCCGGACAGTAGTTTTGGACAACGTGAACAACAATAGTCTTTGAGACGACGTGTCGGGATGGGACATATCGTGACGAGTCGGTCCGACCAAGTAATAGGATAGTTTTGCGTTGAGATTTTGCATAACGTTAGCCGTCGTCATTATTCTGATTCTTTGGACATTAATAACTCGCAATATTTATAGCAGGAAAAGCAGGGGCAAGAGAAAAGAAAAGTGCTGTGTTTTCAATTTTGTTTATACTTTTTTTCCGCTTAATCTAACTTTTATTTTGTCTCTATGAAATATTTTAATTTCGTTATAAATCCATTTTACCTTCTTCTTTTTCTTTTTCTTTTTTCTTTCTCCTTTCGTTGATTTTCGTTTCTATCTTTTTAACAGTTTGCGTTATAAATTAACAATTTAACTCAAAGCTATAAAACATTGTTAAGGGGATTGGTAACAATTGGCCTCCATTTTTATCTTATATCATTTTTCATTTTGTAACATTTTCGGGTTACGCAACAAAAAAAAACAAAATGATGGAAAAGAAAAGCTGATCGGCTGTCTTTCGTGGTCTTGGCTATACTGCCGTTTAAGGCCACAAGAAAGCTCAGGCCTGTATGAACATATTAGTATTTTACTATCCTTCTCCAGCTCTCTCATCATCTTTTTGAGAAATTTCCAGCAATACAGAAACTATATCTAACAGTTATAAAATCCTCAATTTTTTGAAGTTTCACAAAAATAATGCCTTTATTTTATAAATTGTGTTTTTCAGTATATTCTTTTTTTTTTTTTTTTTTTTTTTGATATTTTGGAGTTCAAAAATGGTTAGAAATGACTCTGTGACTGGCAATGTGCCTGTCGAATCCAAAAGGTTATCAAAGGAACAAGGCAAACGGATAGACATCTGAGATCTCTTCAGCCCCATATGTGTGGTCCAATGGGCAGGCTCGTTGACTCCAGGCCCAGTTATAAGTTTTAACCCTTTTTTTTTTCTCGCCTTTTTGTAATGTTATTATTTACATCCTCTGCTTTTGTGCCTATTCGACAAGAAGATAAACTCAGCGATAACATCATTCTCCTCACCAATGAGACATGTATAAATTTGGGGTAGAGAATTTATGTATTTATGTGGTTATAGCAAACAATAGGTTTATAAATTAAAAAAAAAACATAACAATACTATCAAGCATGCGGATTAAGATCTCCTCCTTCTTCTTCTTCTTCTTTTAATTTAAATTACTAAAGTATTCTTGAATCAATTTTTGTATATCTAAATTAAATCTTTTTCTCAATTTTTTTTTCTAAATTATATTGTGTATTATTAAATATTTTTCTCAATTTTTTCTAAATTATATTATGTGTTATATTATATGAACAACTAAAAGAGGTGGGAAAAATGAATATTTATATTTATTATTCACCCTTTCATATGTAACTCGATGCAGCGTAGCTAATGATAGTATTTTTATGATTTTTAAGTTGTTTTTTAATATTCCTATTTAAATTTTACACCATATTTTATTTTAATTTCTGAAGTTTCAAAATGAAATTATTGGTCTCCTAGGCAAAACCCGTAGCCATCAAAAGAAGAAGAGAAAAACCAATTGTGAGAAAAGGGAGAGAAAGTCACGGCAAGGAAAGAAAAAAAGAAAGGAAAGGAAGGAAAGAAAAAGGAGAAAAACTAGGGAAAAATCCTAATCAAATCTAATCAAATCTATCTAAGTAAGTGGGTTTCTTTAGTTCTTTATGCCATTTAATTGATGTTATTGTAATTGGTTAAGCTTGTGTTTATGTTGTGATGTATTTTGTTAGCTTTATTGTGTTGGTTAGGTTGTTCCATGATTGGTAATTGCTATGGTTTGATTTTGATGGTTAGTTATATGGTTATTTGTTAAAGTTTTGAAAGTTTTGTATTTAGCTAGATCCATATATGGATGGGTGTGGCTAATGGAACTTGGTTGATCGAAACTTGGTGAGTGAATTTGAGATTTGTATGGACTTAAATAAAATGGAGTAGGAAGGAAAGAAAAATGAAATTTTAGGGATTTCCTAGAAGTCATATTCGGCCAAGAATGGTGAGAATGGACTTCCTTTGGTACTTAAGACTTGGTTTAGTTAGTTTTTCAAAAAGAAAGGAAAGGAAAAGTCATATAAAAACAAAGAAAAATTCTTTGCCAATTTAGGGACTATTCGGCCAAGCTTGGGAAAATAGGGGTTTTGGGTTTCACTAAATCAATTGGGTAAGAGTACTAATTCGGTTAGGCCCCAAATAAAGATAAAAATAATGTTAGAAAGGTAAGATCATGAAGAGAAACCGAAAATACAACTTAACATTATTAGGAGCCTAATTCGCCCAAAAAGTGTTAAATTCGAGAGAAAAGGGTAATTTATACCATAACATGTTAATTAATTCAAAATGTCAAATACCACATACCTCGAATGTAGAATGAAATAATATCTAAACATATCAAATTAAGTGGAAGAAAAATATCTTCCTAGATATCGGGGATGGAATAATAGTGTAGGGTTTGGTACCCTAGTATCCTTAATACGGTAATCACGGCATCACATGCATCATGTACATGTGTCGGGGATGGACCGAGAAAGAATCAATTGGTTGAAAAGTGGGTTGTATAAATAGTTCTAGTAACCTAACAGGAATAAATGGGTATTAACGGTCCAATTTGTGTGTCTACATTGTTAGACGATGGACTCCCGCTAATAGTAGCTACAACGAAGGATAATTTCATTATTGGCGGAAGGTGATTCGGTAATCACCTGGATTAAAAATAGAGTAAACTTGCTAATACCTAGGGTACCTAAAATTAAAATTGATGAGTATGGTGGAAAGTCAAAAAAGCATTGCATATCACGTGTATCACCCCACTTATTGAGCTTCGACTCGCCTCATTATTATTTCCATGTTATGACGAGTAGCGATGATCTGTAGTACCAATAAGGACACTACTTGGATCCTCCGAAATGGCTTATATGTGACGTAAACCTAAGGGGATGTTATTTTGATTGTAATTCGATGTTTGGGTGTCCGTAGATATTTAAACGGCACCGTAAATAAATTGTAATTTCTTTCGTTATGAATATTCTTGTCATGTAATTTCTATTATACATATTTCAATCCGTAATATATTGTTACGGTACCAGCATGTACGTAGTAGGACAATGAGGGGTGGCAACTAGTCCTAATTGGATCCTTGGTTGTTGTTTCCTAATTTTCTAAGGATTAGGAGTTATTTAATATGTAAGTCTTTGATCTTTATCTTTAAAACATTCATTCTTATTTGACAAGGTTCATGTTTATCCTCTCACTAAAATATCTTTCAAACTTTTAATTAAACCTATTGTCCCAATTAATTAATATGAACTATCCAAATAAATTAAGTTAGATAATTTAAGGTGACTCACATTAGAAAATAATTTTTCAAATTGTCTTTAAACCTACATTAGGAAACTAATTTTTATTTTTGGTTATTTACTTGTAAATTTGGAACTAACTTCCAAATTAGGAAATTGATTTCTAAAATAAGAAAATTTTCACTTTCGAAACTTCCATTTTAGGAAACTTTCTATTTTAGAAAACCTTTTTCAAAATAAGAAACTTTCATAATTGAAAACTTTTTTCAACATATTTGCTTCTCTTTAATCATGTGAATGCTTAAACTTATGTGTGTGACTCAATAGGCTCTTAGATATGTTGAAAATGTATCAAGAATAAAAGACACATCTTTTATCTCTTAATACAAATTCAAAATGAACCTCTAGCAAGGCATCATGACTACCCAATTCTCTAAAAGGATTAATTAATCTATAATTACATTTCACGAGTATGGTTACCATACAATTTAGTCCTCATGTCAACTTATCACGAGTGTGATATCGAACTTGGTTATTAGTCTTGTTCGATTATAATCACACAAGTTTTCTTCGATTCCTAAATGTCTTAGCTCTTAGAGTAAACCAATTATGCTCTATTGATGTACTATTATGGCCATGGATTTCTTGAGAAGACATTTATCGAAGTGTAATATGATAACTCCTTTAGCATACAAAGAATGACATATGCTATCTTAGTCATCCATCTACCTCCATTAGATTCTTAGTACTCCCAACGAATCGTCCAAGTATAATCCTTTACTAGGTCCATCAAACCGAGTGTCAAAGTACATAAATTCTCTAATGAGATAACCATAATGACTTCATGTCTAAGGGCTAGTTGTACCCATGTCGTATGAGATTCCCATAGACTAAACCAAATGGGTTCTCTTGGTGAGTCAAGTCTAGTGATATGTTCTCTAACATAAATGATCTAAATGCTTGCTTTGGCATCACCATGCCAATAAGTATGAGATCTCCTACTCGTTATTAGATAGCATGAGCATAACACTTATAAGTCTAACCGTATCTAGTCAATGTCTATTCTTGATAATGCTTATGACTTAGGATATTTAATAATATCATTTATGTGCATTAGTGTTTATCTCGTATCTTTCGATCAACCATCAATGCAAATACATATATAAGGACTTCTATATAATTTTACTTGAATAAAAAAACATAAAACATAAGAATGAATTAAAAGACTTCTTTATTATTTATAAATAAATGATACAATAATACAATAACTAAAACCTATCCAAACATGGTTAGATTTTGAGCACCTATACTAATAATCTTTCACTTTTACTAGAGCCAACCAGCCATGTCCTTTAATCCGAATGATTGAGTAAGGGTCTCATGTTTCGGTTGTGATAAAGGCTTAGTAAGGGGATTAGCTATATTGTCATCGGTGTGGACTTTTTC